CTAAATTATAAATATGAGCAATATGAAAGCTTCACTTAGCCAAAACTTTGGAACAAACTGGGATGGGAGTTTTGCTTCAAGATAAGGAAATTAATGTCTTTTCACTAAGCAGTACCAGGCTATCCTTCATCAGCAAGTGGGTTGTATTTTGGATTAGCATACCTAACAAACAACAATAAATAAATTACAGATATTTTTTAAGGGTTATTTGGAAAACTGATATCACAGAGGTTGAGCAGACAATGCTACCATATATTTTCAGTGTGGGCTGGGCTCCAGCACATGTTGGAAATCTCAGAAGACAAAACCTCTGGTCCCGGTGACCAGCCCAGATTGGATCCTGATATATTTTCAGTTTATAAACCTTAAAGATTATCTTCCTTTTTCAGGAACAAAAAGTGGCTCATTTCTAGTCTCACGGTTAGGTGTGGTTTCATATATTCAACCTCACATATTTAATTTTGCTGATAACAGAACTGCAATATTTGGATTAGAAATGAATCAGTAAATCAATAGCCTTATATATTAATTGTATAGAAATCAGTTGTAATTGAGAGACCTCAGGAGAGAGAGGGAAAAAGTTTTTAAAATCACATGAAAAGTCATTGTGATCTTTTACTCTTTTCTACCTTAAGTAGTGTGATAAAATGAAAAAAAAGATGGGCAAACTTGGAAAACTTACAAATGGAAGATAACAAGATCTGCACTGTGATAAGCAAGTAATACATTGTTTGTTTTGTGGGTTAATTTGTACAAAACAGAAGCTCATTGTCTATTATAGAAAATGGAAAGAAAAGAATGTAAAAGTTCCCCAGTCATAATTAGATCTTGTCCAATCCAACATCATTTCCCCACATTGGTCAACCAGATACTTCTAGGCTTGCAAACAGGAAGTTCAATTCCTAGGCATTTCTCACTGTTCAATCCTAGCAACAAATAACTGATGACCCTATTGTATCTGAATTTTAAGATTCAGTCCCCATCAATGACAATATTCCCATTTTCAGTTGCATAATATACATATAAGAGAGGAGAAGGGTTCTCCTACAGCAGCATGGGGATTTACCAAGTGAAGAACTCTAAATTGTTAATAAAATAACATGTTAAACATATCATTAACTTAGAAGAATAATCTATAACTTATGAAATGTATCTTATGTTTTTATATAGAAACAACTTATTCAATGGACTCCATTCAGACATCGCAGTCATAACTAAGTCATTTTAAGATTAATGTGAATTAATGGTACCATTATAATCATGATTTAAATAGTGCTCATCATCAAAAGTTTACACTTAATTCTATCCCATCATAATTCTATCATAATTTAAAAAGGAGAAATAAAAATGTTAACTCATGATGTGAAAACAGATGGTATGTTGCCATGGTTTTTTGCACTTCTGGTGTGGACCTCTAAAGCCCAAAAAGGGAACCAAACTGTGTTTCCATAATAACTAGCAAAAAAAAAATCCCACATTAAATTTAGAATCTAAATAAGAATTAGTTATTTGAAATATGGAATGAATGGCAAGCTTACAGACATACAATTTTTCCCGTTCAAGATTTTTAAAAAATATGTATATACAATGAATCTTTGATCTAGTAGTGCAAGTAATCATACCATTATAATATTGATGGCCATTTTAGAACAACTAAAACATTACTTGAATTCTTTTAAATGTTAATATAACATATGAAATTAATGAATTCAGAGAAGAGGGTGCAATACATTTGAACTGGAGATTAATGCTGATTAGAAAGCAAAACAATTTGCCCCTTTCTATTTTCAAAATAGAAAATAGAAACTAGTGTTTCTTCAGTATTAAAATCCTTGGCATTTTCTTTATTATACTTCCCTATATGTTCTGCTAAAAACTAAAGGCTTGTTACTTGATTCAGTGAGACTCGGGTTTAGACTTAGTCTATCATAACAGGAGCGAGATTATATGCTCAAAAGTAGAAAGATTCAGCATTACCCACAATGGAGGCATGGTTGGTGAAGATGCTGGAACTTCAGAGATGGCCAAACTGACTTCCTTGATTAGAGAAAAGACAACTTCTATGTTTATTTCTGACTGGAAACCTTTTATAGACTTTGCATGAAACAGAAAAAATAATTCTATGATTTATGGCTTTGAAGATTAGAAAAAAAGATCAGGTTTCTTTTTGTAACCATGAAGTAAAAGATAATTTTTACATTTATATTTGCTGCAAAGAAAACCAGAAATTACTTCTTTTTATTTCTTTTAGTATCATTATTTTTTGCACTTTCTGTCTTTTTCTTTTTTCTTCTTCCTTTTTTCTCTTTAGTCTATATTAAGTCTGGTTCATTTTTATCTTCTATTCAAAAGAGAGATAGAGATAGATGGAGACACAGACACAGAAACAGATACAGACATAGCTTAGACTTATTCCTAGCTACATAAGGCAACCCAGTGGAAGTTTCAGTGTAGACCATGCCACTAAGCTTTTTTTACTCAAAGCATTCTGTGAAATTTAATCTTAATAATAATATCACAAGGGCACAGTTGTGTTCAGTGTCTAAAATAAGAATTTCCCTACAATTTTTGAGATTAGGACTGCAATTAAAGAAATCAACATGGTGTTTGCAGAAAACTATTTGTAAACACTGTCAAAAAAAGACATAGAATTTGTGGCAAAGGCATTCCTGGTGGTAGTGGTGGTGATGGTATTCTGCATCAACTTTGTGTCAACTTGTGAAGCTTTCCTAACCTGCTTCTGAGTTGCCATAGGCAGGGAGATGAGAAATCATGCCTCCCAGTGCGCCGAGGAATTACACCTCAGTCAAAACAAAACACATCCTAGCCAGCAGAAATCAAAGCCATCTCCATGGAGACCCACAAGGGCTGGAGGGAGTAACTTCTATGACCTGCAAAATTGCTTCATTGGGGAATGTGACTGGTGACACACCTTCATGGGAGTGGGCAACAGGGTCAGAGGCAAGGTATGAACTGGGTGAAGTCACCTAGATCATGCTGACATGGCGTTCCTAATAAAAAACTGGATTTTTCTTATACAATGGCTTATTAGGGCATCTGAACCCTGACACAATGTTTCTGATACTGAAAACATTCAAACAGCATTTTGCATTTCTTCTCTGATATCTAAGACTAAAATTAGGAATTCAGCCAGGCCTCAAGAGGAATCCCTTAAATGACAAAAAAGCAAGGAAGCAATCCGATTGGTATTTTCATGAAGGTAATGTTCCTACCCAGATGAAGCAGAATCTAGTTGCAATGCAAATTTATATTGATTTATATTCATTTCAATTGGTAAGGGATCAGAAATTCTCTGTTGATATCAAGGGAATAAAGTATTTGAAGGGAGAGCTGCCAATTATCTGAAAAAAAAACCTGTAGAATGTGCTTCTTTTGTGGGACAAAGGGAGATCCGAGAAAGTGTAGAATCTCATAACCTACAGAAGTTCTCTATTGTAGTTTTCATTTGCACTCAAGTAAAATGTTAAGTTCGGTCGGTGGGTCCCATAGAGAGGTGAGGCACAAGTAATGAACAACAGCTCTTTATTTAGCGAACAGATTCTGAGACAGCAACCCTAGCCGCGGCAACTCTTTTTATAGAGCCGGCCGCTGCTAGGCAGCCAATGACAGCTTTTTGAGCTTGCCACACTTGGTTTTACCCAATCGCGGCAAGCCCCTTACAAACCAATCACGATCGCTTATTTTGTCCAATCATGGCCCAACTCTTCTGGACCAATAGGAATGCAGGTCTTCAAGCCTGCTAGTATGGAATATAAAGAATGAAAGGAAAGAAGGGCATGGGGGAAGACAGGAAAATTGTGGTCTAACTTAACCTCTAAGTTGAATACTGTAAGTTAATCTAATTATTGTATGATTAGCAATTCATTACAAGACTTTTATTTTCCCAGAATTCTTGGTGGACAGGTTATATCCTATTAATTTCTGTTTGAATCTGGACTGTGTAAGTCTTAAATATTGACAGGTACTTCATGAGAATTAAGTCAAAGGCTTTGATTGAAAGTGAGTGAGGGAAGATGTAGATTTATCTGGCAGTAATATGATATCGAAGCTGAATGAAGGCTTTCCAGCTGAGACATTTGCAGGGTGCCTTGAACTTGCAAGGTACAGAATAGCTCTTTTTATAATGAGTATTTTAAAATGTTACTGGAAGTGCTAATTAAACAATAATCCCTTTTCTAAATTTATATGGGTCTAACCTTTGAAAATCCAATTTTTTCAATAATGAAACCATTTGTTTGTGGGGGGACATGCACACATGCACACATGTGGTAATCATAATATTTAAATATTCAAAGTTAAGTATATATCTATTGATCTTTCCATTTTTCCCATCTACCCTTTCACTTTAATTTTGTAGGGCCTCCTTTGGACATACTCTATTTCAATCTCACAAGTTATGACAAGAAGACAGATTAACGTATTGTATCTTGGATCATCATAAATATGTGGGAAAGGTATCTGATGATCAGGCCAAAGATTCAGAATTGATGAGTATTTTGTGTTGGGTTTTTTTTTTTAAATGTATTTCTTTAAGATGCTTTTCATTTTTTTATTCAAACCTAACACGTTCTATATCTACATCTACTCTATCTATCTATCTATCTATCTATCTATCTATCTATCTATCTATCTATC